GTATCCAATAATCACATTAAATTTCGACTGATTCAAAATCGAATCGCATCGGATCTTATTAGAAAGAAGCTTTTTTAACATTTACTTTTCTATTTAAAAGATTTAAAATTAAAATTTTATTTAAAAAAAATCAATTTCTTTTTACTCGAATCAATATATCATTTTTATCTCTTTTATTAATGAGATTTGAGCAAGTTACTCTGTACTTGATAAAAAAAAATAGTATCATGATTATCTTCACACGCCCAACCTAATTTTGGACAGACCTGCGTAAATGTTTACAACTTAACATGCTATACCAAAAATAATTCAATAGCTTGGTAGCGTAATTATGCAATTTTTTTTTTTTTTTGTTTGCGAAAAAACAGTGAGAATCTTGGATGGGGTTTCCTTCTATTTCTACGAAAAACAGCCACTTCTCGTGTGTCTCCATGTCAGTCAACAAAATTTGACCAACTTTATTCACCAGCAGAATTATTAGTGTTTAATAATTATAAATCATTTTTTTTTGCCAATTTTTTTTTTTTTTTTCATATCCTGACGTCTAAAGATTCTACTTCTACAGTGGGCACGAATAAAAGGGAGAAGGCGCTGATTCGGCCAAGTGCCCAAAACCGAAGGCAGGGGAGAATTTGGTGGAATGATGATTCTTACTCTGAGTATGGGAATGGCTTCGGTGGGACCCCCTCTATCGGTCTCTGGATATCATCCGTTTGTGTGTGTGGTCCCATTGTCGATGCTTTTGCATGCATCGGAGGGTCCCAGTTTAACGACAGATAACGTGGCAATCTTGATCAGACTGATAATCACAGATCAACCGATGGGTTTAGACCCGTTTAGTACTTTATTTGTAATCATGACCGTTGATTAATAGTCATCAGTCATCACCTTACTGGGACAACAGTACCCTAGCTACCGACGCGAGGTTTGTTCAAATTGTTATAGGGCCCTTGTGTATTGAAATTTCTACAGATTGATCCAAGTTTAAGTTCATATCACAAAAAATGACATTTGTATGGATTCTTGATGGACAAAGTATTTTGCTTGTTTTAGAAGATTACTTGATACTCATATTTACTTAGCAGGCAAGCAGTTTTTTTTTTTTTTTTTTT